CAATCAATGTGTTGTTACATCATATCAACAGAATGAAGGCTAAAAATTATATGACCATTTCAATTGATGCTGAAAAAGGATTGATAAAATTCAACATTCCTTCATAATAAAAACTCTCAAAAAACTAAGAAGAAACATAACTCAACATAATAAAAGCAATATATGACAGACCCAAAGCTAGTACCATACTGAATGGGGAAAAACTGAAAACCTTTCCTCTGAGATCTGGAACATGATAAGAATGCCCACTGTCACCACTGTTATTCAGCATAGTACTGGAAGCCCTCGCTAAAGCAGTCAGACAAGAGAAAGACATAAAGGGCAACCAAAATGGAAAAGAAAAGTCAAATTATTCTTGTTTGCAGATGATATAAACTTATATTTGGAAAAACCTAGAAACTACAAGAAAACTATTAGAATAGATAAACAGCTTCAGTAGAGCTGCAGGATACAAAATAAACATACGAAACTCTGTAGCATTTCTGTATGCCAACAGTGAACAACCTAAAATAGAAATTTGAAAAATAATCCCATTTACAATAGCTACAAATAAAATTAAATACCTAGGAATTAACCAAAGGAGTGAAAAATTTTTATAATGAAAACTACAAAACACTAATGAAAGAAATTAAAGAGGATACCAAAAAATGGAAAAATATTCCATGTTCTTGGACTAGAAGAATCAATATTATTAAAAATGTCCATACTACTCAAAGTAATTTGCAGATTCAGTGCAATCCCTATCAAAATACTAATGACATTCTTCACAGAAACATAAAAAGCAATCTGAAATTTATATTGAACTACAAAAGACCCAGATGGCCAAATCTGTCCTAAACAAAATGGAAAAAAACTGAAAAAATAAAAAATAAAAAAACAAATCATATTGCCTGGCTTCAAATTATACTACAGAGCTACAGTAAGCAAAACAGTATATTACTGGCATAACAACAGACACATAGACCAATGTAATAGAATAGAGAACCCATGAACAAATTCCCACATCCGTAGTGAACTCATTTTTGACAAAGGTGCCAAGAACATACACTGAGGAAAAGACAATCTCTTCAATAAATGGTGTTGGGAAAACCGGATATTCTTATGCAGAAGAATGAAACTAGACTCCTGTCTCTCACCATACACAAAAATAAAATCAAAATGAATTAAAATCTTAAATCTAAGACTCCAAACTATGAAACTATTAGAAGACATCAGCGAAAATCTCCAGGACATTGCTCAGGGCAAAGATTTCTTGAGCAATACCTCATAAGCACAGGCAAACAAAGCAAACATAGACAAGTGGGATCATATAAAGTTTAAAAGCTTCTGCACAGCATAGGATACAATCAACAAAGTGAAGAGACAACCCATAGAATGAGAAAAAATATTTGCAAACTACCCCCTGACAAGGGATTAATAACCAGAATATATAAGGACCCTAAATACCCCTACAGGAAAAAGAAAAAATCAAATAATCCAATCCAAAAATGGGCAAAAGATTTGAATAGACATTTCTTAGAAAAAGACATACAAATGGTAAACAGGCATATGAAAAGGTGCTCAACATCACTGATCATCAGAGAAATGAAATCAAAACTACAATGAAATCTCATCTCACCTGAGTTACAATGGCTTATATCCAAAAGACAGGCAATAACAAATGCTGGTGAGGATGTGGAGAAAAGGGAACCCTTGTGCACTGTTGGTGGGAAGGTAAATTAGTATAGTCACTATGAAGAACAGTCTGGAGGCTCTTTGAAAAACTAAAAATAGAGCTACCATAGGACCCAGCAATCCCACTGCTGGGTATATATACAAAAGAAAGGAATTCAGTATATCTAAGAGATATCTACATTCTTTGTTGCAGCACTGATTATAATAACTAAGATTTGAAGGAACCAAAGTGTCCATCAACAGATGAATGAATAAAGAAAATAAGATACTCATACACAATGGAGTATTATTCAGCCATAAAAAGGAATGAGATCCTGCCATTTGCAAAAACATATGGAACTGAAGATCATTATGTTAAGTGAAATAAGCCAGGCACAGAAAGACAAACATCACGTGTCCTCATTTATGGGATCTAAAAGTCAAAATATTTAAATTCATGGATATAAAGAGTAGAAGGATGGTTACCAGAGGCTGGGAAGAGTAGTAGTGGGGCTGGAAAGGAGGTGGGGATGGCTAATGAGTACAAAAAAAGTAGAAAGAATGAATAAGACCTACTGTTTGTTAGAACAATAAAGTGACTATTGTCAATAATAACTTAATTGTACATTTTAAAGTAACTTAAAGAATGTAATTAAATTGTTTATAACTCAATGGATAAATGCTTAGAAGATAGATACTCCATTCTCCATGATGTGCTTATTTCACATTGTATGCCTTTATCAAAACATCTCATGTACCCCATAAATATATACACCTACTATGTAACCACAAAAATTATTTTTAAGAAATACAATTTTACTTGTTCTAAATCTAATGTCCTTTCTACTAGATAGTACTTATCAAAAATAAAAGAACAAATGAGAATGACAACTTATGGAGCCAAATGTGTAATAATTCACTTAGGAAGGAAGGGCAAACTACACATAATTGGATTTATTCAACAACAAAGAATGATATATGGACATTTTGTTTTCTACATCTGATGCCAGCCAGATAAAGAATTTCTTTGCCGATTAAAGATAGTAATAACATTAATATTGAGAACAAAGCACTGCATAAAACTCTTTACATGTATAATTGCATTTAATATCTCTATTACATGAAATACATATTAGTATTCATATTTGGTTAATCTTAGAGCCTATATATATATGAGCTCAGAATGATTATTGATTTACTAAATTATATAGTATAAGAAATAGCTTAACATTTGGACTTCTGGTTTTTAGGAAGAATTTAATAGGCCACTATTTTCAAATTATATAGTAAAGTCCAACAAAAAAAATAATGTGGATTAAAGTTTGCAAAGAGAATTAAATGCCATTATTCAAAATTAGTGAATTGTATTCTTGCGAAAAATTTCTTATCTGGGTTCCATTGTAGAAAAATGTGGTGAGAGAGCCACCTTGTGTTCAAGTTTTGAAAATACGCATTTTTGAAACATTGAGTTGCAGGATTCTGTTTTCAATATACAGATTACTAAAGTAATTCAGCTACTATATTCTATGATTCACTGGATTCATTACTCTAAAAGGCACAAAGACAAGTGATAGCAGAGACTATCTATGCCTCTTTAATTTTTTAATTGTAGCAGCTAGCACAGTGAGACTCATGAAGCAAATTCTCAGCTAATTTCTGTCAAATGTAATTTAACCATCATTCTCTTAATATCAAATTTGATAAATTTGATATTAAATTTATCAAATTTATCAAATAGCAAGATTGATAAAATGGAGGATGATGGGAACTTTGAATGGGTGATGGGGATGATAGAGAGAACAGGGAGGAGTGAAGAGCCACAAAGCCGAACCTTATATCATCATAAAAGTTTCAACTTCTGCAAAATACTTTCATTTCTATCAGCATAGTTGAAAAAGCACATGAGACTAAGTGCAGAATCTCTAATTAAAAAGTGAAAAGTTTTGAATTCTTCCTTCATAATATTGGTTCTTTCATTCCATTGACAAAATATATGTTATTTCATACCAGAGACTCTCCACTTCCCCTTTTCTGCTTCAGCTTACTGTGGTATTACCTATCCACCCAATAATCACTGAATAAATATTTGTGGATTGCCTACTATGGACCACAAGTGTTCTAAATACTAGGAAGCAATGGTAAGCAAAATAAAAAATAGTCTCTGCTGTTGTAGCCCTAATAGCTAAATGGACTTCTAAAGTAATAGAAGTTACCACTACTATTGCTATCCTTCTTGGCTGTTGCTGGTGGTAACCAATAGTACAGTCAAGGCTTGGATGTGCATGTCAAGGCTCTAATATTTGCAACGAAAATTCTAACTCCTATTATGTCAGAATCCATTGGCAGCAAAGTTGCCAAAGCCTTGGAACACTACTCACTGAGTTTTTACTTCTTTTATTGCTAATCTCTTGCTCTAAGACACAGGCATACGTACTAAGAGGACACATTGGAAGACAGGAAGAAAAGTGTTGTCCTATCCCATGCAATTGTACCACATATTGTCTTATACCAAAACAATACAATTTAACTCCCTTTCCTTAGGATGTTCTTTCATGGAACATTTACATTAACATACTTCTTATAGTTCCCCAGACATGTGCAGATGTGCCTTACTACTAGGGCAGAGATTGCTTAGGCACATGGTAGGATCAGTACTATTCTGTGCCTTAGGAAAGTCATTACTAAGTTTTGAAATTCATTTGCCTTAATGAGTGAGTTAAAAGTAAAGGCTCACACCTTTAGTCCCAGTACTTTGGGAAGTCAAGGCAGATGGACTGAGGTCAGGAGTTCAAGACCAGCCTGGCCAACATGGTGAGACCCCATCTCTACAAAAATGCAAAAATTAGCCAGACATGGTGGCATGTGCCTGTAATCCCAGCTGCTCAAGAAGCTGAGGCAGGAGAATAACTTGAACCCAGTAGGCAGAGGTTGCAGTGAGCCATGATCGCACCACTGCACTCCCACCTGAGTGACAGAGCAAGAGTCTGTCTCACAAAAATAAAAGTTATATTTTTCCCTTATATAATTTCCTTTAAGGTCCTTGTTTGCTTTATTACTATCTTGTAATTTCCAATGAAATATTATTATTATTATTATTATTATTATTATTATTAGAGACAGGGTCTTGCTCTGTCAGCCAGGATGGAGTACAATGGCATAAGCATAGCCCCTGCACCCTTGAACTCTTGGGTTTATGTGATCTTGCTGCCTCAGCCTCTTGAGTAGGTGGGACTACAAGGTGCACACCACCATGCCTGGCTTAAATATTATTTTAATTATATCAACTGAAAGAATAATTCCAAAATTGAAAGCAAGGTATTTTAAAATAAATTTATTTTTTGTTTTAGAATGTGCTACTCTTCATAATATAATAAAAGGTCTACAACATACCATTGAATATCAACAGAATTTGAAAGGTAAGTTAGGGGCTGGGTGTGGTGGCTCATGCCTGTAATCCCAGCATTTGGGGAGGCTGAGGTGGGTGGATCACCTGAGGTGGGGGGTTTGAGACCAGCCTGACCAACATTGAGGAAACCCCATCTCTACTAAAAATACAAAATTAGCCAGGCATGGTGGTGCATGCCTGTAATCCCAGCTACTCAGGAGGCTGAGGCAGGAGAATTACTTGAACCTGGGGGGCAGAGGTTGCAGTGAGCCACGACTGCACTATTGCATTCCAGCCTAGACAACTGGGCAACAAGAACGAAGCTCCATCTCAAAAAAAAAGAAAGAAAGAAAGTTAGGGGGGAAAAAGTAAAATCTAAAAAAACATTGTTTATTTGAGTACCTTTTTAAAAATAGGGAATTTTTTCATTGTTGATGAGTTTCAACTTATCAGCTAAGAGAGGACTCCTTACTGCTTAAAAATACTTTTCTAGACGATTATGAAATAAGAAATTCTATGCTGAACAGAACAATTCAGTCATATTCTATCTGATAGTGGCATCAAAGGATCATTTCTCAAAAGTCAGATAATTATTTTTCTTACCTTCAAAAGTTTAGAAATCTATTTATTCTCAGTAGCATTCTTGGTCTTTAATAACACTGTGTTCAGTTTTGAAGAGTGAATATTACTAGTTAAACCATAATTTTTTATTTAAACCACAGTGATCATTTACCATTTAATTTTTTGTCATAGACTAAGACTATATTTGTGAAAGTGAAGTCAATGCATTCAGCTCATCTTTTTCTTTTTAAAACAATCAAGTTATTCAAGCAGGCCTACCATTCACAAAACAGAGCAACCAAGTATTTTGTGCTGTTCTGACTCAGCTATTATGGCCATGAGATTTTCTTCTACTGTATCAGAGATTAAACTCAATTGCCTAAAGTCCCCTTCCAAGTAAAACTCCCATCAAATAGCCACTTCTCATCTTAGATCTCTACCTTTATTTTAAAATAAGCACCTTTATATGTGAGATAAAATATTGATCTTATATGTGATTCCTGTAATTTGGAGTGTAAAATAGGGGCTTTCATGTTTCTATCTCAATGCTAAGGTTCAAAACAACTTTTCCCTTCCTTGTGGCTAAAATACCACACTCAGCTGGGTTCTCTATTCTGTTCCATAATCTACCTGTCTGTCTTTTTTTTTTTTAACAGTGCTATACTGTTTTTATTATTGTAGCTCTGTAATATATTTTGAAATTAAGTAGTGCAATGGCTCCAGGTTTGTTCTTTTAGCTCAAGATTTCTTGGGCTATTTGAGGGGTTTTTTTGTGATTCCATATGAATTTTAGGATTGTTTTGTCTACTTCTGTAAAGAATGACATTGGCATTTTGAGAGAGATTGCATTAAATATGCAGATAATCGTACGTAGTACAGACATTTTAACAATATTAACTCAGATCCATCCATTTAACTGTGTCTTCTTTCATTTTCTTCATCAATGTTTTATAACTTTTAGTGTACAAGATTCTCACCTTCTTTGGTTAATTCTCAAGTTTTTATTGCCACTGTGAATAAGATTGTTTCTTAATTTCCTTTCCATATATTTTGTAATTTGTATATAGAAATGTGATTAATTTTTGTATGTTGATTTTGTACACTGCAACTTTACCGAATCTATTTATTAGTTCTAACAGGTTTACTAAATGTATAGTCATGTCATTTGCAAATATAGATAATTTTCTTCTTTTCTGATTTGGATGCCCTTTATGCCCTTCTCTTTCCTAATTGCTCTGTCTAGGATTTCCAGTACTATGTTGAAATGAAGTGGCAAAAATGCTAAACACACTCCTGAACAATCATTGAGTCAAAGAATAAATAAAGGAATTTTAAAAGTATCTGAGACAAATGAAAACACAACATACCAAAACCTATAGGATGCAGCAAAAGACATTCTGCTAAGGAAGTTTATAGCTATAAAGCCTAAATTTAAAAGGAAAAAATATATATCAAATAAGCAATCTACCTTTATACCTCAAGGAACTAGAAGAAGAACAACAAATTAAGCCCAAAGGTAATCAAAGGAAGGAAATAATGAAGATTATAGGAGAAACCAATCAAATAGAAAATAAAAGACAACAGAACATTTAACAAAACTTTGTTTTCTGAAAAAAATAAACAAAATTGACAAACCCTTGACTATAGTAAAAAAAAAAAAAAGTCAATAAATAAAAGCAGAAATGAAAGAGAAGATGATACAACTGATGTTTTAGGGGGTATGAGGGGAATCATAAGGGACTATTATAAACAATTATATGCCAGCGAATTGGATAACCTAGAAGAAATAGCAAAATTTCTAGGAACGTACCACCTGCCAAAACTGGGTCAGAAATAGTTAGAACACACCAATAACAAATAAGGCGATTGTGTGAGTAATCAAAAATCTCCCACCAAGGAAAAGCCCAGAACCAGGTGGCTTCATGGGTAATTCTATTAAACGTTCAAAGAAGAAGAAATTGAATTGAAAACATTCAATTTTTCTTAAACTCTTCCAAAAAAAATAAAAGCAAAGGGAACACTTCCAAACTCATCCTATGAGGCCAGTATCACCCTGATACCAAAATCAGACATACACTGCAAGGAAAGAAAACTACAGCCCAATATCCCTGGTGAACACGAAATCAAAAATTCTCAATAAAACACTATCAAATAAAATTCAACAGCCCATTAAAAAGATCATATATCCTAACCAAGTGGGATTTATTGCTGAGATGCAAGTATGGTTTCGTATACACAGATCAATCAATGTGATATACCATACATTTTCTATTTATTATCAAAATGAGTAGAAAAAAACCACATGAACATTTCAGTAGATACACAAAAAACATTTGAAAAAATTCAACATCCACTCATGATTAAAACTCTCACAAAATAGGTATAGATGGAGAAGGTAATAGACATGGAAGGATCTTGCCTTAACACAACAAAGACCATAAATGAAAACCTCACAGCTAACATCATAATCAATGGGAGAAAACAGAGAATTTCTCTTAAAGATCCAGTACAAGGAAAGTACAAGTTTTAAAATAGCCATTCTTAAAAAATGAATATTGTATGATGCCTCTTGCAAATAAATGATAATTCATTGAGTTCATTTTCCTAATGCTTTTACAGGCCTTAACTGAGCAAGGTGATATATATCAACTGTCTATATTTGACCATTTCATCCAATTGATTGCCAACATAGTATGATTAATCTGCTTATTTATACTACCCAGTGGTTTCCTACCCAGCAACTCTTTTCTCTCCTTAATAGGAAACTTTTTTTCTTTTTTAGACATTCGCCCTTCATTCCCTTAATCATATGCCTCAGGGTAAGCAGATTACATCCAAGCTCCAAGGGAGTTCTTCTGGAATAATTTTTCTCTCTTCCAAGAGATGGACTGTGTTCTTCCGGTTGTTATAAGACTTGTATATAATGGCTAAAATTGGTGCAGACTTCTTGTTTCTAGTCTAAAAATCATGCTAGCAGGGTGATTTTTGACAATATCAAAAAAAGTAAACTAAAAGGATCTGGTTTTTTGGTAACATTATTGATCTGGTGAAGCAGTTACCCTTTGGGTTTAAGAGACTTTTCAGTTACAATGAGAGAAATGCTACCTTTCTTTAGTCTTATTGGTGAATCTTTTCAGTAAGGACTTACAGATTATGTAAGAGATAAATCAGTGAGATGTAGCAAAATACTGCAATTCTTATACACCTTTATTTTTATCTGAAAATTTAGTCAGTCATCTTACGAAAAATTTAGAAACTGGAATAATCCTTTTTCTATCTATAAGTTAATTATATGTCACACATGATACACAAGGTTCTTCTTTCTCTGAGGAGAATGGGAGTTCTAAAACTGCACAATTGCATGTTTATTTTTTCCCCTAGTCTTAGTGTATGGCAATGTAGTACAGTTTATATGTATCTGGAGAAGAGGATTGATAGATAAAATTAGCTAGTTCTAATCAATCTAATCCTTTCAAAACGGACAAGTAGTTTTAAAAAATAAAACATATTTTGAGGACAATAATAAGTATAATAATGCAAGCAAAAGCAAACAATAAGAAAGTATGAGAGCTGTCACTTCTCCTACCCCCATGCAAGCTCTTTATCAGACATATTAAGTTAAAATGTAATGAAAGTCTATTAGACCTGATGAAATGATTTTGGAAAATTAATTTGTGGAAAACCCGTTGTATCTTGAGAAATGGTTCCACCACTAAGCAATTTCAGGGCTGAAAACATGTCACTTTTAAGTATTCTCACTTGCACATGAAATATGAAAATAGAATTCTAATTTTAATGAAAATTCTTCAAATGTACCTCAGGTTTCTGGTAAAATGTGCAAGGATCTCAGAAGTTGTCACTCCATGCTAATAACAAGTAAAAAGTTCAGCAAACTGAAAAATCAACAATTCTTAGTCTTTTGATCAGAGAAGTGAGGTTGCAGGACAAACTGATGCCCCTAAAATTGGAGACAGGGAGGCAGATTCAGAAAATACAACTTACAAGAGCAGAACCCCAAAGCAGAAACCTTCCTGTTGGTCAGGCTAGGAAACCTTAAAATGTAATTTTGATAAATTGCAGGAGGCTCACTGTGGACAAGTCTAACAGATTAAAAATTTCAGGAGACCTAATCATAGGGGAGCCCCTACAGTTTGGAAGTTTTACCTGTAAGAGCTCTACAAAGATCTCACAGTTAAGATCTGAGAAAAATCTCCTCATGTTGTTGGCAGGAGGAGAGGAAAAGTAACCATTTTGAAATAATCCATAGCTCCTGTTCTTAACAAAGCCTGACTCAAAAGAAGCTATTTTATCTGAGCCTAAACTATTGATGTTTTAGCCAAGGATAAGCTGCCTTGATTGGGGGGAAATACCCTGTTTCAGCTCCCCCTAGCCTTCACAACTCCAGCCCACTCTAGCCATCCCATCCCACCTAAAAGGAGAGGGGCCGAGACACATGTGAGTAACTCACAGTCTAGAGGCACAGGCTTACTGAAAGACTGAGACCTAATCATAGGACTATGGAACGCTTCTCCTTCCCCTACACCTTACCATCAAGTCGCTAAAGGCCTATTTACTAGAATTCCTTTTACCTAGTACTTTGTCTTGAGCTCTGTCCAAAAAATTACAAGACACATTAAAAGGAAAAAAATAGACAGTTTGAAGAGACAGAGAAAGCATCAAAATCAGACATAGAAATGGCAGAGGTATTGGAATTACTAGACCAGAAATATTAAACTATGACGAATATGCGAAGGGCTCTAAACAGTGTTAACAGAAATTAGTGCCTTTGATGGACTCATTAGTGTATTAAGTGTAAGGAAAAATATTTCTCAGTTTCAGGAAAGACTGTCCAAACTTGAGAATATGTCAATAGAAACTTCCAAAACTGAAAAGAAAAAAAAAGACAAAAAAAGGTTAACAAAATATCCAAAAACAGTATAATAACTACAAAAGCTGTGACAAACACTTTCTGGGAATACCAGAAGGAAAATCAAGAAAGAAGGGAACAGAAGAAACATCTGAAGCAATAATGACAGAGGATTTCCCCTAATTAATATCAGATACCAAACCACAGATCAGGAAGCTCAGTGAACACTAAGCAAGGTAAATGCTCAAAAAGCAACCCCTAGGCATGTCATATTCAAATGGCAGAAAATAAAAAACAAAGAAAAATTTTCAAAGAAGAGTGGGGAAAATTCTTTACCTATAGAGAACCAAAGATAAGAATTGAATGACAGCTAAGTTTTAAAATTGAAAATAAGAAAAATGAAAGGATCTCTTTAGCAGGTTGGTGTTTTTTGCCTTGGTGTTCCAATGAATTGCTAGAGTACATGTCAAGTTCAAAGCATCTGAAAATTCCAAGTAATACGTCCAGCTTCTTCTCAGGAACCATGCACACAGTAAAGGAGTAGGGTGAAATATTTAAAGTGCTGAGAGAGAGAATAAAACACCAACCAATAATTCAGTATCCTGCAAAATTACTCTCTAGAAAGGGGAAATAAAGACTTTCTTAGACAAATAAAAATTGAGAATATCTGTTGCAAGTATACCAGCCTTTCAGGAAATGATAAAAGAGGTTCTTCAGAGAGAAGCAAAATGATAATAGGCCATAAACTTGGATCTGCATAGAAAGGAAGAACATTAGAGAAGGAATAAGTGTAGCTAAAATAAAAACTTTTATTTTTCTTATTCTGAATTAATCTAACAAATAACAATTTATTCAAAATCATAGAAACAATGTTTTTTAAGTAATTATAACTTGTGCATAAGTGAAATGTATAACATCAATGACACAAGGAATGAGAGAAAGGTATTATGAATACTTTAGTATAAAGTACTTATACAACCTGAGAAGCAGTATAATGTTATTTGAAAATGGACTTGGATTCATTGTAAATGTATATTGCAAACTCTAGGACAATCACTTTAAAAAAGTGAAAATAGGCGGGGCGGCGGGGCGGCGGGGCGCGTGCGCGGGGCGGGCCGGCGCCGGGCGGGGGCGGTGCTTTGTGTGCGGCCCGCGGGGCGCGCGGCGGTGTGGGCGTGCCACGGGCGGCGGGCGCCGCGGTCGGACGGGCGGGCGCGCGGCAGCATGGAGGAGCTGAGCAGCCTGGGCGAGCAGGTCTTCGCCGCCGAGTGCATCCTGAGCAAGCGGCTCCGCAAGGGCAAGCTGGAGTACCTGGTCAAGTGGCGCGGCTGGTCCTCCAAGGAACACGAGAAGGAGGTGCAGAACCGGAAGAGAGGCAAGAGGCCGAGGGGCCGGCCGAGGAAGCTCACTGCCATGTCCTGCAGCCGGCGTGCCAAGCTCAAGGAACCCGATGCTCCCTCCAAATCCAAGTCTAGCAGTTCCTCCTCTTCTCCACGTCGTCGTCCTCTTCCTCAGATGAAGAGGATGACAGTGACTTAGATGCCAAGAGGGGTCCCCGGGGCCGGGAGACCCACCCAGTGCCTCAGAAGAAGGCCCAGATCCTGGTGGCCAAACCCGAGCTGAAGGACCCCATCCGGAAGAAACGAGGCCACAAGCCCCTGCCTCCGGAGCAGAAGGCAACCCGGAGACCCGTGAGCCTGGCCAAGGTGCTGAAGACAGCCCGGAAGGACCTGGGGGCCCCGGCCAGCAAGCTGCCCCCTCCACTCAGCGCCCCCGTGGCAGGCCTGGCAGCTCTGAAGGCCCATGCCAAGGAGGCCTGCAGCAGCCCAAGCACCATGGCCACCCCAGAGAACCTGGCCAGCTTGATGAAGGGCATGGCCAGCAGCCCCGGCCGCGGTGGCATCAGCTGGCAGAGCTCCATCGTGCACTACATGAACCGAATGACCCAGAGCCAGGCTCAGGCTGCCAGCAGGTTGGCACTCAAGGCCCAGGCCACCAACAAGTATGGCCTCGGGCTGGACCTGAAGGTGAGGACGCAGAAAGGGGAGCTGGGAATGAGCCCTCCAGGAAGCAAAATCCCAAAGGCCCCCAGTAGCGGGGCTGTCGAGCAGAAAGCCGGGAGCACTGGGGGGCCCCCACACACCCATGGCGCCAGCAGGATCCCTGCCGGGTGCCCAGGCCCCCAGCCAGCCCCCACCCAGGAGCTGAGCTTCCAGATCTTAGACTTACAGAGTGTCAAGAATGGCATGCCTGGGGCGGGTCTGCTCGCCCGCCACGCCACCGCCACCAAGGGTGTCCCGGCCACCAACCCAGCCCCTGGGAAGGGCACTGGGGGTGGCTCCATCGGGGGCAGCGGGGCCACCATGCCCACCGACACCAGCAAAAGTGAGAAGCTGGCTTCCAGAGCAGCGGCGCTGCCCACCCCTGCCGGCAAGAGGGACTGTGTCAAGGGCAGTGCCACCCCCAGTGGGAAGGAGAGCCTCTCGGCCCCCGGAGAAGCCCTCAAGGCGGCCGCGCTGCCCGAGATGAGTGCAGGCGAGGAAAGCAGCAGCTCTGACTCCGACCCTGACTCCACCTCACCGCCCAGCGCCGGGCAGAACCCGTCAGTGTCGGTTTGGACCAGCCAGGACTGGAAGCCCCCCCGCAGCCTCATCGAGCACGTCTTTGTCACCGACGTCACCGCCAACCTCATCACCGTCACAGTGAAGGAGTCTCCCACCAGCGTGGGCTTCTTCAACCTGAGGCATTACTGAAGGCCCCGCGCCACCAGCTGCCCGGTCTTACCTCCCCTTCTCTCTCGGGTTTTGCTTACTGACTCCCAGCCCAAGCCCCGTCAAGGGTCTGGGTCGGGAGGAGGAGTAGGTGGTCTCCTTGAAGAGCAGGCTTGGAAGGGGCTTCTCCCCAGCCCCCACCCTGCCTTGCTGGCCTGGTATCCACCATGTTCCTACCTCTGTAGGCCTCTGCTCTCCCCTCCTGCCAGGAAACGTGGAGGCACCCGTGGCTCAGGGCGACTGTCTTGAACAGAGCGGGCTGCTTCGTGGCTGCGTTGGTGCTGGGTTTGAACTGCCCCTCCTTGGCCTGCAAGACTGAATCACAGCTTTGCTCCCATCTCCCAGGGTCTGAGGTATCAGGAGGGGGCTTCTGGCCCACCTCACGTTCAGCCTTGGGTGGCAAGAGAGTGTCGTGGGGAGGCAAGGCCAGTGGGACTCGTGTTCCCTCCACCTGGCGACAGCTTTTGGGAGATGGGATGGGTGGGGGCAGGCCTGGTTAGCATGGCCTGAGCCAGCAGTGGTGGGGTGGGGAGCCATCCCCTGACAGCTGGGGGCTGGCTAGGGCCTTGATGTGAAGGACAGTGGCTGGCGGCTGGTATAGAGTGAGCACAGGAACCCTAACAGGCTTTGCGGCCATCTAGCCCCACTTCAGGGCAGCATCTACGGCCCCCACACAACCCACAGGCCAGGATGGGTGGGGTGGGGGGGTGTTCCACCTGAAGAGCCTCCACACTTTGGAGCAGAAGGCAAGCTGTGGCCACTGCCCACCCTTTTGCTGTCCCAGTGAGAAGTGACCTGAGCCCCCTTCCAGACCCACCCCCTGCCTGGGGTCCACTGAAGCAGCTTCCATTTCCAAAAAGCCTGGAGTTCGGTGTCCGAAGGAAAACCCAACATGGAGGTGCTCAGGCCCAGAGGAGTCCCGTGGGCAGGACCCTTGGCAGGTAAGCCCCTCCCTCCACACCCAGGACTGACTTCCTGCTGATAAAGGACTGGCTTGGTCCTAACTGTGGTCCAGAGACTTCCCCGAGAAGAGGATGGGAGTGCCAGCACTTGGGAGGCCATCCGCCGGCTCTGCCTGTGCCACAGGTGTTCGCTGTGGGTCCTGCCCACGTGGACGAGCCATTCCTTGAGGAATGCCACTTTCCCTGACAATCCCCCTTCCCGTTAGGGGTTCCCTGTTTGGCTCCTTTCCAGCTGAAAATACCTGTACCATTTGGGAAGCTGGGTGAAGTCTGGGCGGCCCCCCGGTATAGGGCCCTTGAGCGCTGTATCAGCTTCGGCCTTGAGGCCATGTTAACTCAAGAGTTTGAGCCTCTTCCAGGTGGTGACACGGGAGTTACCTTGTATAGCTTCTGACCAATATCAGGATTTCTGTTCTGAGAGCAGCTTGGGCAGAGACAGGGAAACCCAGAGGTGGCAGCAGAGGCAGTCTGGCCACCGGATCTTTGTGATGCCAAAAAGAGAAGTTCGAGGGATTGAATAGTCACTTTCTGTTGTTATAATTGGATCAAGTCAGCCTGCAGGCATGGGGCTATTCCAGTGCCTGGCCACAGGGGCGGCTGCCCTTCCATAGAGCAGCCCGGACTTGGAGAATGGGCTCTGGTTTCCGGGGGGCAAGACCCCCCCCAGTACCACACCGTGCCAAATAGGAAGAGGTGGCCTTGGTATAGCCAAATTGATCTCAACAGTGTGCCTTTGGGGAGGGACCCATTTCCTTGGCTTCATTGAGGGCCATCCATATGCCACCTGGGGCCAGCCCACAGTGGCTGTGTTGGCCGCCACAGGAATGGTGCCCACCTCAGCGAATTGAAGGGCTGAGAGTCCCAGACAGCTAGGCTGGAGCTGGAGGCAGTAAGGGGAGGAGCTGCTCCCACGGGAGAGGGAGAGATTCCAGCTCCCTGCTCGACCTAGGAGAAATGGTTCCTGGCACACCAGGCCTCGGGCACCAGCCTCCCAGTCCCCAGACAGCCAAGGTCGTGGCTCCTTCCTGCGGAGCACGGTGCTGCCTTCGAGTCTCCAAAGCCAGGCTGACAGCTCTCCAGTCCTTCAGGGGTGACTGGGCTTCCAGGAGTAGGAGAAATGAGGGTGTCTCACTGGGTACCTGGGCTGACCAGACTCCTCCCCAGCAGCCAGGTCTCCAGAGCCCGAATCGGTGCCTTTCTGTTTACCAGCTACTTCAGTCCCAAAGTTTGAATCTGCAGATACCTTACTCCCAGCCACTTTGCCTTCTTACTGTGTTACGTGTTTTTCCTGGTGCTTAAAGAGTGTGTGTACGTGTGCAGGGCAGGTGCCGCCACCGGGGAGCTGCCCCAGATGCTCAGACTTGGTTGTCTTATGTTTACCAATAAATAAAAGTAGACTTTTTCTTTAAAAAAAAAAAAAAAAGTAAAAATAGAAGTATAATGGATTTGCTAAGAAAGAAGAGAAAACAGAATCATATCATATACTCTTTACCACAAAAGGCAGAAAAAGAATAGAAGACAAAAATAGGGTCAAAGAACAAGGGCAATGAATAGAAAACAGTAACAAATATGGTAGATATTAATCTAACTTTATCAAAAATCACTTTGAAAATCAAAGTCTAATACACAGGTTACAAGACAGAGATTATCAGAGTGGATTTTGACTTTATCAAAAATCACTTTGAAAATCAAAGTCTAATACATAGGTTAAGACAGAGATTATCAGAGTGGATTAAAAAACATTACCCAACTATATGTTTTCTGCAAAAAAAAAGCCTACTTTAAATATAAAGGCACATATAGATTAAAAGCTAAGGGCTAAAGAAAGATATGTTAACACTAAGAGCACTGGAGTAGCTATACTCATTTCAAACAGCTGATTTTAGAGCATTAAAAAAATTATTAAACCAGGTGCGGTGGTTCACGTTGGTGCTGGGTTTGAACTGCCCCTCCTTGGCCTGTAATCCCAGCACTTTGGGAGGCCGAGGCGGGTGGATCACGAGGTCAAGAGATCGAGACCATCCTGGTCAACATGGTGAAACCCCGTCTCTACTAAAAATACAAAAAAATTAGCTGGACATGGTGGCTCGTGCCTGTAATCCCAGCTACTCAGGAGGCTGAGGCAGGAGAATTGCCTGATCCCAGGAGGCGGAGGTTGCAGTGAGCCAAGATTACGCCATTGCACTCCAGCCTGGGTAACAAGAGTGAAACTCCGTCTAAAAAAAAAAAAAAAAATTATCAAGGATAAAAAAGGGGCATTATATAATAATAAAAGGGTTAATTCTCCGAGAAGACATAAAATCCTTTTATATATGTTGTCTAGCGACAGCATCAAAAATATGTGAGTCAAAGATTAATAGGAGAAATAGATGAGTCTACTATATAGTCGAAAATATCAACATTCTTGTATCAGAAAATCAGTAAGGACATAGGTGAACTCAACATCATCAATCAATTGACTATAATGGACATCTATAGACTTTCATTCAGCAACCACAGAATGCACATTCTCCTCAAACGTACATGGATACTCACCAAGATAGATCACATTCTGGTTTATAAAACACACCTTAACAAATTTGAAAGAATAGAAATCATACAATATCTGTTGTCAGGCCACAATGAAATTGAAGTAGACATTCAAAAACAGAAACATAGATTAAAAATCTCAAAATATATGCAGATTAAAGAACACTTCTAAATAATACAGGGGTCAAAAAACAATATCAACAGAAATTTTAAAATATTTTGAACTAAATTAAAATGAAAATGCAGTTTATTAAAATTTGTGAAATATAGCAAAAACAGTGCTTAAAGAAATTTATAGCATTAAATGCATATGTGAGAAGGGAAGAAGAAACTAAAACTAATCTAAGCTTCCACTTTAGGAAATAAATAAGAGAACAAATTAAATCCAAAGTAGAAAAAAAAATAAAAATAAAGCAGAAATTAATAAAATTTAAAACAAGAAATCAGTAGAGATCAATGAAACTAAAAGCTTTTTTTTAAAAAGATCAATAAAATTGACAAGTCTCTAGCCAGATGAACTAAAGAAATAGGAGTGGCAACACAAATTAATAATATCAGAAATGAAAGACAAGACATCACTACAAATGTCATGTTCATTAATAGGATAATAAAGGAATACTCTGTGCTCAAATATTTGATAACCTATGTGAAGTGGACCAATTTCTTGAAAGACACAATCCGACAAAACTCACACAAGAAGAAATAAATAATATGAATAGGTAGGCCTATAGCTATTAATGAAATTTAATAATTAGTTAATAACTTTACAAAACAGAAAGCACCAGGCCCATATGGGTCTACCGGTGAGTGAATTCTATTACACATTTAAGAATGAAATTATACCCATTATCTGCCATGTCTTCCAGAAGATAGAAGAAGGAATAATTTCTAATTCATTCTATGATACCATCATTACCCTAATACAAAACCAGACAAAGAAGGACATTACAAAAAAGAAGAAAATTACAGACCAATATATCTCATAAACATAGATGCAAAAATCCTCTACAAAATATTAACAAATGAAACTCAATAATGTATAAAAAGATTTATACACCATGACCAAGTTGGACTTATATCAGCTATATAAGGCTGATTCAACATTGAAGATCAATTAATGTACTTTGTCACAATAGGTTAAAGAAGAAAAGTCACATGACTATATTAATCAATGCAGAAGAAACATTTGACAAAACCCAACACCCAGTCATAATAAAAGCTTTCAGCAAACTAAGAATAGAGGAGAACTTCCTCAACTTTATAAATATCTATAAAAAACCTAAAGCTAACATCCTACATAATATGAGAAACTAGAAGCTTTCTCACTAAGACTAGGAAGAAGACAAGAATGGCCCTTTTCACCGTTCCCTTTTAGCATGCACCAAAGATTATAGATAATGCAATAGGGCAAGAAAAGGAAATAAAGGCATGCACATTGGGAAGGATAAAATAAAATTGTCTTTGTTCACAGATGAAATTGTTATCTATGCAGAAAAAATCAATCAATCAGCAACACAACTCTAGAAAATAATAAGAAATTATAGCAAAGTGTCAGGAAACAAAGCAAAAACAGTCAGTCACTTTGCTACACACCAGCAATGAACAAGGGGAATTTGAAATTGAAAACATAATACTCTTTACATTAGCAACCCAAAAAGGCAATATATAGATATAAATTTAACAGAATACGAGTCCAAGATCTACATAAGGAAAACTACAAAACTGAAGAAAAAAATTAAAGGAAGGCTAAATAACTAGTGAGATACTCCATGTTCCTGGGTAGAAAGACTCAATATTGTCAAGATGTCAGTTCTCAACTTGATCTATGGACTCTAAACAATCCTAATAAAAATCCCAGCAAGTTATTAAGTGGATATTAACAAACTGATTCTGAAGTTTATGTGAAAAAAAAAAACCAATAAAAAAAAACAGCCAACAAAATTTCGAAGGAGAACAAATCAAAGGATTAACACTATCTGACCTCAAATTTTATAATAAAACCACAGTAATGAAGACAGTATAGTACTGACTAAACAAACAAATAAATAAATGGAACAGTATAGAAAGCCCAGAAATACACCTACATAAATAGAGTCAACTGATCTTTGATAAAGGAGCAAAGGCAATATAATGGACAAAAGACATTATTTTCAATAAATTATTCATAATTGCCAAAACTTGAAATCAACCAAAATGTCTTTTTGTAGGTAAGTGGATGAATAAACTGTGCCACATGCAAATAATGCACTATTATTCAACACTGAAAAGAAATGAGCTATCAAGTGATGAAAAGAATGAAGGAATCTTAAATGCATATTTTTAAGTGAAAGAATCAATAATCTCAAAAGAATGCTACATGCTGTATGATTCTAACTATATAACATTCTGGAAAAGGCAAGGTTATGGAGACAGTAAAAAGATCAATGTTGCCAGGAGTTCAGGGACAGTGTTATAAATAGAGCATAGAGGAATTTGAGGTCAATGAAACTATTTTGCATACAATAATGATGGATGTATGCCATTTTTATTTATGAAAATCCATAGAAGGTACACTACCAAGATTGATCCCTAATGTAAAAACATTATTATGAATGGTGTTAATGGTGCCAAGGTTTGAAAATCCCATTGGAATAGTAAAGGGAGCAGAAAACATATCTGAAGTCTGTTGTTATCAAAGGTAAATAGTACATTTTATATCTGTGTTATGTTGAAAATATTTTCATATAATTGATACGACTTTTATTCAAGAAACATCAAATTTTCTGACAAAATTTTTGTCAGACTGAAGCCATCATCAAGATTAAGATTTGTATTAAATATGACCCTTTAAAATGTAACACTTTTCCTGTCTGTTTCTGATCACAGCTTTTGAAAACTAATTGATTTTAGATTTTTACTTAATTTTAATACTATGTATGATTTAATATCTCTGCAAGTTTCATATGTGGAGTCTTATTTCCAAGGCTCCTCTCAACGTTACTATACTGCAAAACAAACCTTCCTAAAGCATTATTCAGATAATGTCAAAAATCTTTACTGATTTGTTGTTGTTTTGTTTAACTACTTCTTGGTTTTATTTATAGTCAAGGTTTTAATTTTAATACTATGATTTAATACCTCTGCAATAGTTTCGTAAGTGGACTGTATTGCCAAGGCTCTTCTCAACTTTACTATACCACGAAACAAACCTTCCTAAAAACATTGTTCAGATACTTCAAAAATCTTTACTGATTTGTTGTTTTAACTACTTCTTGGTTGTGTTTATAGTTAAGATTGTAGAGGGGAAATGTGTAATAGGATGTCCAGTGAAGCTTTTCCTGTTTACCTGGAATTAATAACTAGGTCCCATCCCACAATTAACAACAAAATAGCTACATATTTCCATATTCTAATGACATCTGCTAAAAAGTCACCAAATGTTGGAGTGAGTCAACACTCTCTATATATTTGCTACAACTACCTAAAGGACTAGAACCTCGATGTTAAGTAGATAATTTTCTACCTCTCCTCATTCCCTGTCTCCAGTCCCCAAGAGATGACCCACAGGAAAGACAGGGAAGAGCAACTAAAAAGCAAAGTAAGACTTCTTTACCACTTCTATTGAGTCTTTCCAGCCACTAATCTAGCCAGTGATAAGGATCATGAAAACTTTCAGTCAAATAGGAAATTAGTTTTGAATTGACCTGGATGTTTAGCAATCAAAATTAACCACAGGGTTTTTAAAATTTGTTTAAAAGATTATTAAGGTATTGTTTTCAGTTACTCAAACCAGAAACCTAAAAAGAAAAGGCTCTCCCTTACTCTTTTGCCTCCTGTCTCTAAAGGGTCACTAAATTCCTAGGTAATTCTATCATCTAAATAATTCTTCTCCTCAATGCCTCCTTTTCTCCATGCTGCCACTGGCGTAATTTAGGTCCCTGTTATCTCTTACTTGATCTATACTTACTTATCTCCATTCCTCCAGGATCAAAACGCTCTCATTCATCATCCACATTGCCAGACAATTGTTTTAGCATGTAACTCTCATTATTTCACTTCCGTTTTAGCATGTAACTCTCATTATTTCACTTCCGCACTATTCAAAGTTCTTTGATGACGCCCTATAACCTTTAAAACAAAAATCCAAAGTTGTTCATCCAGAATATGTCTACCTAGTGATAGGATCTCGACCTATATAGCATCTCCTGCTCACACTTTACACTTCAACAATATCGTACTTGAATTGTAGTTTTTCCAAGTTGTATTCACTCAAGCCCATGGTCTTCTGTGCAATTTTCTGCACTTAGAATGCTCTCTCTTAACATGGGGTAAGCCTTATCACTTAACTCTCATTTCAAGTAGCTTCTCTTCTCTAAATCCTTTCCTGACTTCAAGCTGCCCTGGGTTTTCTTTTTGCAGGTTCCTGTAATATTTCAGATATACTGCCATTAAAAGCAATCATCATAGCATATGATAACTACTAACACATTTGACTCACCACTAGGCTGTAAGTTCTTTGAAGAGCAACAACTTTTTTCTTTCATGCTCTCTGTCTAGTGTGGTACCTGATGTGTAGTAGCTGCTGGATGCATGTTTGTTGAAAGTATACATGAATGGAAGCTAAAATGTTAAACATATTTTCATATTACTTGAAAAGTGCTAGATATTAGGATGTTCTTTGATTATTCTTACAGATGAAAATGAACAACTAAAAATAAGTGCTGATCTTATAAAAGAGAAGTTAAAGTCTCATGAACAGGTGAGTTTATGTATCATTCTCTTCAGTCAAGTCTCTGTAGAGCACTTGTCTTTTCAAATTAGAAAAAAAAAAAAAAAGGTTTTTAAATTAATAAACACAGCCAAAAGGGGTGTGTGTGTGTGTGTGTGTGTGTGTGTGTGTGTGTAGATATGCTGAAATCTTTAATAAATGACAATTTGTTTTAAAAGTAATACAAGTTTTAGGAGTCTTCTACAAAACATAATGTACTAACATATAACTTGCATTATTTTTTCTTTATACCAAAAAGATGCAATTATTTTGCTGCATGTTTTTCAATTATGTTAATAGTTTTTACTCTAGTAAACTCTATTTGTTACTACTTGTGAACTTTTTTATTATAATGTAAATGAATCTATACTCTTTATGATTTGGATAATCATTACATCATTCAAATACAGAAGGCATTTCATGTGGATCACAGATTATTTCTCTCCCAAGAGCAACCATACCCTCTACTACTTTGCCTTATCTCCTATAGAAACAGTATAGTGATAGCAGTTGTAGAACACATAAACAATGCCGAAAAAACATAAAAGATGCTAAATAAACGTCAGTTCTCTCTGCTCTTTGAGAGGTTCATTATGCTAAATTTCTCATCTCTCAAGAGCTAACATGTCAAATTCTAGCAAACTGAAGAAACTCAAAACTCAAGTTGAATCTATAGCAGTCTTCAACCTGAAGAATCTTCTCTAAACTCAGTAGCTTTCTCATTTGGGGAGCCTCTGAAGAAACCTCCTCAGAACTTCTGGTTAATACTCTACAGTAATTAGTAGCATTCTTGCTATGCTCTTGGAAAATTTAGCTTTTCATCACCTTTTTTTACAAATACTTTATTGTACTTTAAGTACTGGGGTACACAGGCAGAACATGCAGGTTTGTTACATAGGTATACATGTGTCATGGTGGTTGGCTGCATTCATCACCCCATCATCTACATTAGGTATTTCTCCTAATGCTATCCCTCCCCTAGCCCCCCATCTCCCAACAGTTCCCAGTATGTGATGTTCCCCTCTCTGTGTCCATGTGTTCTCATTGTTCAAATCCAATTATGAGTGAGAACATGCAGTGTTTGGTTTTCTGTTCTTGTGTTAGTTTGCTGAGAATGATGGTTTCCAGCTTCATCCATGTCCCAAGAAAGGACATGAATTCATCCTTTTTTATGGCTGTATAGTATTCCATGGTGTATATATGCCAAGATTTTCTTTATCCAATCTATCATTGGTGGGCATTTTGGTTGGTTCCAAATCTTTGCTATTGTGAACAGTGCTGCAATAAATATACATGTCCGTGTATCTTTATAATAGAATGATTTATAATCTTTGGGCATATACCCAGTAATGGGATTACTGGGTCAAATGGTATTTCTATTTCTAGATCCTTGAGGAATCACCACACGGTCTTCTACAATGGTTAAACTAATTTACACTCCCACCAACAGTGTAAAAGTGTTCCTATTTCTCCACATCCTCTCCAACATTTGTTGTCTCCTGACTTTTTAATGATCACCATTCTAACTGGCATGAGATGGTATCTCAATGTTGTTTTAATTTGCATTTCTCTAATGACCAGTGATGATTAGCTTTTTTTTGTTTTGTTGGCTGCATAAATGTCTCCTTTTAAGAAGTATTTCTTCATATCCTTCACCCACTTTTGAATGGAGTTGTTTGTTTTTTTCGTGTAAATTTGTTTAAGTCCTTTGTAGATTCTGGATATTAGCTCTTTGTCAGGTGGGTAGACTGCAAAACTTTTCTCCCATTCTGTAGGTTGCCTGTTGACTCTGATGATATGTTTCTTTTGCTGTGCAGAAGCTCTTTAGTTTAATTAGATCCCCATTTGCCTATTTTGGCTTTTGTTGCCATTGCTTTTGGTGTTTTAGTCATGAAGTTTTTGCCCTTGCCTATGTCCTGAGGGTATTGCATAGGTTTTCTTCTAGGGCTTTTATGGTTTTAGGTCTTATATTTAAATCTTTAATCCATCTTAAGTTAATTTTTGTATAAGGTGTAAGGAAGGATCCAGTTTTGGCTTTCTGCATATGGCTAGCCAGATTCCCCAACACCATTTATTATTTGTGTATGTTGACCCAGCCTTGCATCCCAGAGATGAAACCAACTTGATCGTGATTGATAAGCTTTTGGATGTGCTGTTGGATTGGGTTTGCCAGTATTTTATTGAGGATTTTCACATCAATGTCCATCAGGGATATTGGCCTGAAATTTTCTTTTAGTTGTGTTTCTGCCAGGTTTTGGTATCAGGATTATGTCGGTCTGATAAAATGAGTTAGGGAGGATTCCCTCTTTTTGTATTGTTTGTAAGTTTTGGAAGGAATGGTACTAGCACCTCTTTGTACCTCTGGTAGAATTCAGCTGTGAACCTGTCTGGTTCTGGAGTTTTTTTGGTTGGCAGGCTATTAATTGCTTCCTCAACTTCAGACCTTGTTATTGGTCTATTCAGGGATTCAACTTCTTCCTGGTTTAGTCTTGGGAGGGTGTATATGTCTGGGAATTTATCTGTTTCTTCTATATTTCCTGTTTTATTTGTGTAGAGGTGTTCAGAGTATTTTCTGAGGGTAGTTGGTATTTCTATGGGATTGGTGGTGATATCACCTTTAGCATTTTTTATTGCATCTATTTGAGTCTTCTCTCTTTTCTTCTTTATTAGTCTGGCTAGTGGTTTATCTATTTTGTTGATCTTTTCAAAAAAAAAAAAAAACAGCTTTTTTTGCTTTCCATTTGCTTGGCAAATATTTCTCCATCCCTTTATTTTGAGCCTATGTGTGCAAAGACATAGGCTTGTGAGATAGGTCTCCTAAATACAGCCCACCAATGGGTCTTGACTCCATATCCAATTTGCCAGTCTGTGTCTTTTAATTGGGGCATTTAGCCCATTTAAAGTTAAGGTTAATACTATTATGTATGAATTTGATCATGCCATTATGATGCTAGCTGGTTATTTTGCCGTTAGTTGGTGCAGTTTCTTCCTAGCATCAATGATCTTTACAATTTGGTATGTTTTTGCAGTGGCTGCTACTGGTTGTTCCTTTCCATGTTTAGTTCTTCCTACAGGACCTCTTGTAAAACTGGCCTGGTAGTGACAAAATCTAAATATTTTGAGCATCCTTAATATTATAAACCCTGGTGATGAGTATCCAGAAAGCAAAGATTTAAAAAGACATTGTTTCTATAATATATTTCTTTATTTCCTTATATCAGAAATTGATCTTTCTTATGTAATTCATGAAGCAGAGAGTAGAGTGGTGGTTAGGAATGGCTGTGGTGGAGGCAACAACTGGGGAGATGTTAGTGAAGGATAAACAATTGTAGTTAGAAAGGAGGAATAGAATCAGGAGAGCTATTGTACAGTTTGGTGATTGTTATCAATAACAAGTATTATATACTTGAAATTTGCTAAGAGAGTAGTTTTTTAATGTTCTCATCACAAAAAAAGTGATAAATATATGAAGTAATAGATATGTTAATTGGCTTGAGTTAGGCATTCCACATGTATACATATATTAAAACATTGTATTGTACATCATAAATATATATAATTTTTCATTTTCAAGTTAAAAATTTAAATTTTAATTTTAAAATATTTTACTTTATGCATATAAAAAATAAAATAAAATGGGTCTACCTCAAAGCTGATTATTCAAACAATGAACAATATTTTTCCTTGTTGGTATGATAACTTGATTATTAGGTGAAATTTTTCATTTGCATTAAATATATATTACCTTCTAAAAAATAATATAAATGGAGAATTTTAAAAGTATTTAAAAAATAATATGAGTTATATGCACATATTTAAATTTTAAAAATTAGTATATATTTTAATCTCTAGGAATATAAGAATAATATTGCCAAACTTATAAGTGAAATGAGAATCAAAGAGGAAGGATATAAGACAGAAATAAGCAAACTTTATCAGGACATGCAGAAAAAAGGTAAGTTTAAAATAAACTTACTTTTGTATTATAGATTAAAGGGATATATGTACAGGTTTGTTACATGGGTATATTGTATAATGCTGGTGTTTGGGCTTCTAGCAAACTCATCAATTATATAGTGAACATTAATCACAATTGTTTTTCAACACTCACCCCTCCCCTCCCTTCTTTTGGAGTTCCCAGTGTCTATGGTTTCTATCTTTATGTCCTTGAGTACCCATTGTTTGGCTCCCACTTATTAAGTGAGTATATGCAGTATTTGATTTTCTGTTTCTGAGTTATTTTACTTAGAATGGTGTCCTCCAACTCCAACCATGTTGGCAAAGAACTCAATTTTATTTTTTAGGGCTGCATAGTATTCCATGGTGTATATACACCACATTTTCTTCATCCAATCCATCATTGATGTACACTTAGGTTAATTCTATGACTTTGCTACTGTGAATAGAACTGTGATAAACATGCAAGTACAAGTGACTTTTTGATAAAACAATTTATTTTCCTTTGAGTAGATACTCAGTAATAGGATTACTGGATTGAATAGTAATTGTATTTTTAGCTATTTGAGAAATCTTTGTAATGTTTTCCATAGAGGTGAAACTAATTTACATTTCCACTAACAGTGTATTATTGTTCCCTTTTCTCCCCATCCCTGACAACATCTGTTTATTTTTGACTTTTTAGTAATAGCCATTTGACTGGTTTGAGAAGGTATATTATTGTAGTTTTGACTTGCATTTATCTGATAATTTACAATGTTGAGCATTTTTTCATATGCTTGTCAGCCACATGTATATCTTCTTTTGAGAAGTGTCTGTTCATGTCCTTTGCTCACTTTGTAATGGGGTTATTCGTTTTTGTCTTGTTGAATTGTTTAACTTCTTTGTAGATTCTGGATATTAGTCCTTTGATGGATACATGGCTTAAAAATATTTTCTCCCATTCTGTAGGTTGTCTGTTTATGATGTTGATTGATTCTTTTGCTGTGCAAAAGAATCTTTAAAACTGATTTGTCTATTTATGGTTTTGAGGCATTTGCTTTTCAGGTCTCAGTCATAAATTCTTTGCCTAGGCAAATTTCCAGAAGAGTTTTTCCTGTGTTTTCTTTTAGGATTTTTATAGTTTAAGGTCTTACATTTAAGTCTTTAATTAATCTTGAGTTAAATTCAGTGTATGGTAAGGGATAGAGGTCCAATTTAATTCTTTCACACGTGGCTAGCCAATTTTCCCAGCACCATTTGTTATAATAAACAGGAAATCTTCTCCTCATTGTTTATTTTTGTAGAATTTGTTGAACATTAGTTTGTTGCAGGTGTGTACCTTTATTTCTGAGTTCTTTATTCTTTTTTTACAAATCTGTGTTTCCATTTTTGTACTAGTACCATGCTGTTTTGGTACTCATAGAATACCAGTACCTGTAGAATAGTTGGAAGTCAGGTAATGTGATGCCTCCAGCTTTGTTCCTTTTGCTTAGAATTGCTTTGGCTATTCAGGCTCTGTTTTGGTTCCACATAAATTTTAAAATTGCTTTTTCTAATTCTGTGAAAACTTAGATTGGTGATTTGATAGGAATTGAATATGTGGATCGCTTTGGGAAGTATAGTCATTTTGATGATATTGACTCTTCCTATCCATGAGCATGAAATGCTTTTTCATTTGTTCATGTCATCTATGATTTCTGTTATCAAAATGTTTTGTTCTCCTTGTAGCGGTTTTTCACCTTCTTTGTTAAATGTATTTCCAAGTAATTTTGTGTGTGTGTGTGTGTGTGTGTGGTAATTGTTAATGGGATTGAGTTCTTGATTTGGTTCTCAGCTTGAGTGTTGTTGGTTTATAAGAATGCCACTGATTTTGATGTATTCATTTTGTATCCTGAAACTTTACTGAAGACACTTGTCAGGCCTAGGAGGAATCTTTAGGGTTTTCTAGGTATAGAATCTTTTAGATGAAACTTTAGAGTTTTCTAGTTGTAGAATCATATTATCAGCAAACAGATATAATTGGACTTCTCCTTGTGCAATTTGGATGCCTACTATTAATTTCTCTTGCCTGATTGCTGTAGCTGAAGACTTTCAGTACTGTGTTGAATAGGGGTGGTGATAGTGGATATCTTTGTTTTGTTACAGTTCTTAAGGGAAATGCTTTCAACTTTTCCCCATTCAGTATGATTTTGGCTGTGGGTTTGTCATGTATGGCTCTTATTATTTTGAGATATGTTCCTTCAATGCCTATTTTTTAGGGTTTTTATTACTAAGGATGTTGGATTTTACTGAATGCTTTTTCTGCATCTACTGAAATGATCATATGGTTTTTGTTTTTAATTCTCTTTATGTAGTGAATCACATTTATTGACTTGCATATGTTGAATAATCCTTGCATCCCTGAAATAAGGCCATTTGATCCCGATGAATTATCTTTTTGATATGTTGCTGGATTCTGTTTGCTAGTGTTTTATTGAGGATTTTTGAATCTATGTTTATCATAGATATTGGCTGTTGTTTTATTTTTTATTGTGTCCTTGACAGATTTTGGTGTGAGCATGATACTGGCATCATAGCATGGTTAGAGAGGCCTCCTTCCTCCTCAATTTTTTGGAATGGTTGTAGTAATATTGATAGCAACTCTTCTTTGTACCTCTGGCAGAATTTGGCTGGCCTGTAAATCCTCTAGTCCAGGGATTTTTTATGTAATGGGGGTTGGTAATTTTTTTTAGTTACTCATTCAATTTTATAACACATTAATGGTCTGTTCAGAATTTCAATTTCTTCCTGGTTCAGTCTCTGGGAGTTTTATGTTTCCAGGTACTTTTCTGTTTGCTCTAGATTTTCTAGTTTGTGTGCGTAGAGGTGTTCATAGTAGTCTCTGAGGATCTTTTGTATTTCCATGCTAATAGTTGTAGTGTCAACTTTACCATTTCTGATCATGCTTATCTGGAAACTTCTCTCTGTTTTTCTTGATTAATCTAGCAAGTGGTCTATCACTTTTGTTTGTCCTTTCAAAAAGCCCACTTTTTGTCTCACTGATCCTTTGTATGGTTTTAGGGGGGTTTTAAAATCTCATTTTCCTTTAGTTTTTCCCTGATCTTTGTTATTTCTTTTCTTCTGCTAGCTTTGAGTTTGGTTTTTTCTTGTTTTTCTTGTTCATATAGGTAAAACCTTAGCAGGTTAATTTGACATCTGTCTTCCTAATGTAAGCATTTAGTGCTATAAACTTTCCCTCTAATACTACTTTTTCTATGTCCTAGAGATTTTGGTATGTTGTGACTGTATTTTCTTTTGTTTCAAAAGAAGTTTTTATTTCTGTATTTTTGTTATTGTTTACTCAAAAGTCAACCAGGAGCAAGTTGTTTGGTTTCCATGTATTTGTGTGGTTTTGCAAGTTCCTTTTGGTATGGATTTCTAATTTTATTCCATTGTGGTCCAAATATAAGTTTAATATAATTTTATTTTTAAACAAATTATTGAAACTTGTTTCATGATCAAGCATATGATCAATTTTAGAGAATGTTCTATGAACAGATGAGAAAAAAATGTATATTCTGCAGTTGTTGAGTGGAATATCTGTAGATGTCTATTAGTTTCATTTGGCCAAGAGTCCAATTTAAGTCCAGAGTTTCTTTATTATTTTTCAGCTTCCATGATCCATCTAGTCCTGTCAGTGGAATATTGGCCACCCAACTACTATGGTATAGCTGTCTATCTCTTTTCTTAGGTCTAGTAATATTTGTTTTATAAATCTGGGTGCTGCAGTGTTGGATACAGTTAAATCTGATTTTTAAATCTTCTTGTTGAATTGAAGCCTTTATCATTATATAATAGTAGTTATATAGTTAAGTCTTGTTGAATTGAAGCATTTATTATTATATAATACCCTTCTTTGTCTTTCTTTATGGTGTTGGTTTAAAGTCTGTTTTAACTGATAGAAGAATATCAACCCCTATTCTTTTTCATTTTCTATTTGCATGGTACATCTTTCACCATTCTTTTACTTTGAACCTATGGTGTCATTACGCATAGGATGAGTCTCTCAAAGTCAGTAAATGGTTTCATCTTGTTTTATTAATCCAAGTTGCCAATCTGTGTATTTCAAGTGGAACATTTAGACTGTTTATGTTTATAGTTAATATTTATATGTGAGGTTTTGTTCCCATTAGAGTGTTGTTAATGAGTTGCTTTACAGCCTCAGTTATGTAATTATTTTATAGGGTATGTGAACTTTGTACTTACATGTGCTTTTATGGTAGCAAGTATTGTTCTTTTTTTTCCATGTTTAAAACTCCTTTGAGCATTTCTTGTAGGTCTGCTCTGGTGATGATGAATTCCTTTAGCATTTAGTTATTTGGAAAAGACTTTATTTCTCCTTCCTTGTTTAGCAGGATATAAAATTCTTGGATGGAAATTTTTTTTTAGAAGGCTAAAAAGAGAACCTTAGTCTCTTCTGGCTTGTAAGGTTTCTGTAAGAAGTCTGCTGTTAGTCTGATTGGATTTCATTTATAGGTAATTTGGCTATTTTCTCTAGCTGCCTTTGAGGCTTTTTGTTTGTTTGTTTGTTTTACATATTAAACTTAAATAGTCTAATGATTACATGTCTAGTAAGACATGCAAATGTCTTGCAAATGTCCTCTGAACTACTTATATCTGGATGTTGATCTCTCTAGAAAGATTAGGAAAATTTTTCTAAATTATTCCCTCAAACATTTTCCAAGTTGTTTATTTTTCCTTCTCTCTCAGGAATGCCAAGAAGTCATAGGTTTTGTTACTTTACATAATCACATATTTCTCAAAGGCCTTGTTTTTTGAATTCTTTTTTCTTATTTTTGTCTCAATGAGTTAATTTGAAAGACTGATCTCCAAGCTTTTAAATTATTTCTTCTGCTTGGTCTATTGTTAAAACTCTCAATTACATTTTAAAATTTCTTTAGTTAATTTTTAAATTCCAGATGATTTTGTTTTGCTTTGCTTTTTAAAATATAGCTACCTCATCTTTCATAACCCGAA